GGTTGGCTTTCGTTTGAGGGGACGTGTTAGAGAGTGGTATAAGATCCAGCACCAAATAACTCGCCCCCTCAAACGAAAGCCCCCTCAAACGAAAGCCAACATATGGACTTGAAATTTGCACAGGCCCACCATACCATGTGCTTTAAATCAATAGTTAATATTGGGGGTCGTGGAAATTCGAACACACGACCACTTGGCCAAACCAGTTATAATACCATGAATAATTCGATAACGCGTGGAAGGAAAAAGAACACGAAACAAGAGTTTACGTGGTATCTTCGATCGATTGATTGATCGAGTCTAATCCACGGTGAGCTCGAAAGAGCTCACGATTGATCTCTTATTAGAACTACATCTTGACGGCTTGCTTACGACAGGTTCGTAGCTAAGTCTTATATAGAGATAGGCTAGGGTTAAAACCCTAACGAGAAGGGTCAAGTACGACCAAGTATCTGTACCTACTACAACCCGAACAAGGCCCAATACTAACACGGTTTAAGTAACTGCAACACTCCCCCTCAAGCGAATACATGAATGACAAGAATGTCAAGCTTGAAGAAGAAAATGTGAAGAACAAGCATGCTGGCTTGAACCACAAAACTCAAGATGAATGACATCTCGGACGAGTTTGATTGGAGACGAATGACTCTCTCTTTTGACAACCTGATGATCGAGACGGTTGACTGCGTCTCTTGAACTTGAACATACTTGGCACATCGCGGTCGGACCTGATGACTGAGTTAGTCGACCGACGTATGTTGACCTCCTATTCTCCCCCTCATGCTGGAGCATGAATATCGTGAATGCCCGACTTGAAAAGCGATGAATGGTTGATATTAGGGGTGAATTCGGTTCGGTTATAACCGACTGGTCAGTTACCGGTTAACCGAACCACCATCTCCCTCTACCGAACACCGACCGACGCCAATGCCTCGGTTAACCAATAACCGACCGGTTGGTTATCGGTTAGTTGGTCGGTTAACCGAGATAACCGAAAAAATGATGGTGGTTCGATTTTAACCAGGTAAAATTATTAGAATCACCTAAAATGAAAGGTTCTAACTTACATTTCTACATCTAAATCACACCCAAAGTAAAGTCTCAATCACTTTTGCATAGAAAATACATCTAAATCACCAAATTAATGTCTCAAATTCAACAACATAAAGTTATAAACTTCATAACCAGGTATTTTCACGTCGTTTTGGTGAGGGGGTGGTCGAACGGTTATTGTTGGTTAACCGGGTAACCGGTTTTTGGTTACTCGGTTAACCGAATTACCTATTAGGAGCTCCAACCACCGACTGAAGCATATAATTTTCGGTTATCGGTTAACCGGTAACCGCCGGTTATCGGTTTAACTGGCCGGTTAACCGGCAACCGATAATCGAACCTCCAGCCCTAGTTGATATGTGCCCAATAATGAAGCAGAAGAGGGGACGACCATTTCTTGGATCGTGAATACCAACTGAACGATGAAGGAACGAAGACTTCTCTGATCGTACTACCTTTTGAACGCCAGGGGACAACCGTTTTTATGGATTGTGAAGACCTCGTTACACGGATGGTTGAACTGGTGACAAAACATTTGAGAGTTACGGGGCACTCGGTTGGCCCAAAAGAAACTCACGACGACAAGATATAGATGGTGGCTGCCTGTGACTAAACTAGTTTGTTGATGATGGAAGCTGCGGAGAACTTGACTATTGATAACTGGAGATGCTTTGGAGATATAAGATGAACCTCCTTTTCCAATCACCACCACGAACTAGGGATGGCAATTTTGCCCATACCCATGGTTTTTTACTATCCAACCCAATTGGGTTGGGTATGAAATCCAAATAGATGTATATGGGTAGAATTTGATGGGTTTGTACCCATACCCATTTACTTTGGGTTGAGTTGGGTTTATAACAAATGAATTTGGGTTTGTACCCATGCGCAAATACAAATTACAGTTTGGTACCTAAACTTAATAGATATGCATATTTAGTACCTAAAATTAATTTTTTTTGCATATAAGTCCTCAAAATATCGATGGAAAATTACGTTTTGGTACCTAAAATTTCCAATTTTACAAATAGGTCCAAATTTTGCATGTGTAGTTAAAACACCCTCAAGTAAATGTATATCCATATCCCACCCATACCCATTTAAATTATGGAAGCAATATTCATACCTTACCCAAACTCATCTACAAACCCCCAAACCCCCAAACTCATATGCACTTCACCCATTATCAATAGGTCTACTTGGATGTGTATAATTACCCACGAATGGGTAATTGGCATCCCTACCATGAACACTAGGTAGACTCCCAACCTCCCATCCATCCAAACCTCATTTAACCAAACGGCAGCACAGATCAAAAGAGAGAGAGAAAAAAAATATTGCGTTCTTCCTTGCAACGTGGCCTGACATCAACATAAGCTGCTGGAGAGGACTTGCCGCAAAGATGGGAAGACCTTTTTTATGTTTTTTTTTATGGCAGACAAAATTGAACGCATCCAAGATTCCTATGATGTGAAATATATATTCCAAGGGAATAAATACCAAGAAATCAGCCGAGCACGAGGGATACCAGCGACTTCGGGTACTGGTAGAGAATCATGGACTCAACTCTCATTCATGTTTCTGAATTGAGCTTCAAAGTAGGCTTCACAAACACGTTCCCAGACTTTCCTATCGAGCTCCCAAGAATTTCAATGTGTAGAGGGACACTCCAGCATCAAAACAAGCCATTAATGTCCAATTTCCATTGAGCCAATTGTAAGATATGAATCTCCAAAGTAAGCACCATGAAACTATTTTTACACTAAAACAAAAGATTAGGTCGACCTAATCCTAATTGAGGTCGACCGAAAAATGCAAGTTACAGTGACTTGCAAGACACCAAAGGCACACCCAAAAAAATATCATCAACGTTTCTGAAAGTATCACAAGATAGCGAAACGGCGATAGATAAAATGATGTTTACTAAATACATCGATGAAAATTTATTGCAGCATTTTATTTTTTATTTTTTGAATTTTTATTATAAATGTAAATGACAATAAAATCATTATTGTTGTAGTGAGAACAAATAGAAAGAGCGAAAATAGAATGAAACTTAGTAACTTACGCTTAGGAGCCTCATTTTGTTGGATGATAAATACAATGTCTATCTCCTTTCCTTTCATTAGCTCTCCCTCAATGCTAAATCATTTATTCATGGTGGAGCATATTGTAAAATAAAAAAAAAAAAAAATTCAGAGCAATTCCGAAATTTTGTGAGACTTGATGGTGTTTTTTTTTTTTTTACAAAATACTTTTTGTTGTTGCCAGATGTAAGGTTTTTAGCCTGGTTTCTCGTGTTGGGCTGACAAAACAAGTGGGTTAGGTTATAGATTAATGATGGGATGGGATTGGTTTAGCTCAATTGAATCGAGATATACGAAAAAAATAATTATATTGTACACCTATAATATCAGCTTTCATTTAACATTTGGGGTCGTTTGGAAGTTGCGATTGTCTTGTTGAGATTGTCATTATCCATGTATTGTTTACAATGCATTGTTTTTTTTGTTTGTTTTTTTAACAGAAACAATACATGAATTGTTTCTATGATGTGACAGAAACTATCACTCATTTTGAGGGATATCTCAATTTTTAGTTGTGATTGTTGAGATAGTTGAGTTGAGGTTGTTTTGTCTCAGCTTTTAGCTGATGCGACATACACAATCACACATACCAAACATTGTATTCTACAATGCATCAAATTCGACAATACATGTATAATATTATACAACATTCTCAACAATACATCTATTTAACAATCGCAACTTCCAAACGACTCCTTAACACCGTAACAACATGATAGTTGGTAAATGTAAAGTTTGAAGAAATTATCCTTAGGAATATCCATTCTATGCATCTTGTCCGTAGACTAATTCGGCTTTGACTGACAAGAATGATATTACACTCTAAAGACGACCATTGCGTCAATGAAAACAATTAAAACCAGAGAGAGACAGACGGGATGGGATTAGGTGCTAACCCTTATAGGAGTTAGCACCGTGATAACTAGCAAAAAAAGCTACTAAAAATAACGAAATCACTACGGATTATTATAAAATCAATACAACATCTAAGCTAAATCACTACTAATTCAAACTAGTAGTAGTTTTTCCCTTGATTAGGACGGTGCTAACTATTGTACAATTAGCACCGTAACCAATCCCAGACAGACAGATGAAACCAATACATATCCTCCTATAATATATAGCCGTTCTCCGGCTAATTTTCTCCATTTTGAAATCCTTGGCCTCTCCTGCATTGTCGCTAGGGGCAATTGTGGAAAGTAAATTGTCTTAGTGGATCCCTTATATTTTATTATTCGAAAAATCAGTACACACGTCCCTGCAACTGCTCAATATCCCTTCGTCTACACCTCATTCCAGCGACTCTCAACCGCTCATTTTCCCTTCTTCCTCACCCATACCAGCGACGCATTCCGACGGTGCCGCTTCTTCCCAATCTGCAACTCAGCCATGCTTAATCGCCCCTGCAACCGCTAATTGTCCCTTCGTCCTCACCTCATACCAGTGGCCGGCAAATTCCATATCATCGCGGAATTAGAATTCAGTGGTTGATTCGTCTTCGCCAGTGACTTCCCGACTCTTCCCGATCCTCTCCGAATCCCTTCCAGAAGAGTTTGCTGGGTCAACCCGAGACTGCTAGGTCTGATGCCCTTTCAGATCCTTTTCGTCCTTTTCCATTTTACTTGATGTTGATGATAATGATGATGATGATGCTAGATATTTTCAGGTTGGAATCGGTCACAAGGGATAATTTTATTGATGTATGCTTGCTTTCACGAGGGTAGAATTGATGATGGTGCTGCATATTTTAGGAAGATGGTCGATTCAGGGCTGAGAACGGACTTGCCTGTTTATGATAGACTGGTTGATCAGTTGGTTAAGGCTGGGAAGATTGACGAGGCAAAATAGTTGTACGAGCTGATGGTGAAGAAACAGAGGATGAATAATGAGAGCTATAAGTTCATAATGAAAGCACTAAGTGATCATGAGAGGTTGGACGAAGTGCTTCAATTGGTCGATGCAATGTTGGATAATGAGGCTATCAACGTGAATGAGGAGCTTCAGGAGATAGTGAAAGGCGAGTTGAACAAGGAAGGGAGAGGAGACGAACTAGACAATCTTATGGAAGAAAAAGCTAGGCTAAAGGCTGAAGCGAAAGCGAGAGAAGGGCGAAAATTATCATTGCTAATCTCTTTCCACCTAAGAACAAGGAAGAGGAGACAGGATCTGCAGAGGGAAATGATGTTAATGCTAATGAGGCAGCTCCTGCTGCTGCAGAATCTGCAGCGGGTGAAGAACAACTCATAGAGAAAGCAGAATCTGTTGATGCAGAAGACTCGAGGGACGAGGTAAGAGCTTGAAAGATGGTGAAGTACTGTTCTTTGCCACCCCTTTATCAAGCCATGTTAAGGTCATTCATCTGATTTTGCTATATATTGCTGCCATGTAATTAAACAATAGCTGGGAAATGAGGTGGGAGTTTGAATTCTAGGCACAGTGAGTAGAATGTGGTTACTTTGAAGGATTTCAATGTTGGATGATACCCAAGTTTGTAGTTGCGCCTTCTGTTAATTTCTATGTGCACTTCCATAAGTTGTTCTGTTCTGCAATTACCTGCTGCATTTGGTTGGATATTGATTGACCTTCCTTCAGCTCCTGATCTATTGCTACGGTGGCGATTTGAACAATCTATGGTACATATATAAAATATCTTTTTTCGGTACTTTTTAGTGCCAATTCATTGTTATCTCACTTTCCTCTGTTTGGTGTTTCTCCTCTCTGATATCTCTATACTGGTTGTTCTTCTGTCAGTGAAACTCCATGGTTTTGTGCGAGCCGAACGGGAGCTTTGGATTGGCTTACGACATCATCGGGGTCAAAGATTTTGAATCTCTGTTGTCTACGGGTCGATTAAAAGGTGAGCCCTCTGGATCAGTTTACCATCCCCAAGTCTTCGATTTGTTTGTCAAACAAAAATTGGAGTTTTTGACCCAGCCATTGATTTCAATTGTCAATAGGGAACATGAATCTCTTATGCCTACTGTCGCTTTAGTTCTCAATCTGTAACTGGAAACCTTGACCTCATCCATTGATTTCTTTCTCAAGAGTTGGGCACGTGATTCCCCAACCCCAATTGTGGTTTTAGTACGCGATCAGGTACTGGAATTGCCGCCCTTAACTTACATTACAATATTTCCTTGGTTCATTTTGACATGACCGTAATTGAAGTTCTGTCCTTTCAATTGGTGAGTTCATTTTTGCTTTCAGTGAACCTCCTTACAAGTAATATTTACTTTCCGTTGTTTCCTAATTAACTGTCTTTGCTTGCCCGTTGTTAGGTCTTTTGAGTTTAATATAACTTGACCCTGTTAGATGTAGATGTCTTCTAACAATTAATTTGGTTTTGGTTTTGTTTTGTTAGCCATTGTTTAGTAGGAGCGTTTGAACCGAGATTGTGTTGAGTGCTTTAATGATTTTGTAAATAGTGTAAATTATTGTTTCGGCAGTGCTTGCTTGAGCAATTGTTTGAATATTAGACAGTGCCTCTAAAATTGATAGAAGTTAATCAGAAGGTTGTCATGCTCTATGGTATCATTTCGGTAGTGCCCCATTCATAGGTTTCTTCGTATTTTTTTCATTATCCATAGTTTTGTAATTCCTACCGCCAAGTTGTTTTGTGTTTCTGGATTTCATAGCTGATGTGGGAGACATATTCATGTCCAGCCATTCCATTTGCCTTTTTTGTAGTTGTTTATGTCGTTCATTGATTCACTTGCATTTTTGAGCTGTCATGTTGTTGCATTATGCTGCCAATTGTCCTGTTATCAGTTTCAGATATATGTATGTTGGTTTCCTGATGGTGATTTCTGAAAATCAGTAAGTGATTCAATCTATGCCAAGGCGCGAGGTTGTTTCAGTTTTGTGTTGTAGATATATTTGTCGGTTACGTGTTCGTGTCTCTGTTCTGCTTGATCAAATAAGTTTGAACTTGGCGTGATTTCTGAAATACTATTAATTTTTACGATTTCTTGGTCTGTGGCGGGTTGCAGCAGGGAGTTGCCTTGACATACGCTACTTCAAGGGCTCCTTCCGTCATTTTCAGGCCTCAGGGATTTCAAATTCTCTGGCTTCTCCTTCAAAATCTACTTATGGTTTTTGAGAATCCGCCCTCTGAAGTGTGTTTGACATTCAGCCTGTTTGGATTGCTGCTGCATTCAGGATTTCAGGTATGTTCGTTTATTCTTCTACTTCTTATTCTTTCAATATTTCGATCTAGGTTCCTTACCTGAGCCCTTCAATATCGCTTTGTAATTTTCATGAGTAACAACCCCTTGAGAGGGTTTCTAGGTTTATCAGACATTCTTCCGGTAGGGGAGGCAACAACAAGCAGATACGTTCCAACCACTTCTGGTAAGACCAACTGCTTCTTCTACGTTTAGAAGCAATCATCTTCGGTATGTTTTATGTTCTTGGTTTGTGTGAGTTACCTGCAAACTACTGGTTTAAGGAGATTTTGAAACAAGAATGTGAGGAAGGGTGCGAATGAAGAAGAAGAAGCTTGCCTCGCGGTTTGAACTGTCTTGCTTCATTTCCTGTGGAATTCAGCTTCACAACAGCACCAAAGCAACATGATTTTTCTATTCTGCTGAATTGGGATCCTTATGTTCATGAAACTGTCAACGATTGTCATATTCTGGTACATTTTCTTCCCTTAACTTCTTTCCGTTTCATATTTTATATATGCTTGCTAAAAAAGTTTGCTTTAATGTTTCCTGTGTACAGTGCAATACATCAAATTTCAACCTCAAAGGTTCAGGTGGTCAGAGGTAGTGGCCGATTCCTCATATACTATTTTCTCATCTCTTGGGTGGCTTTGATCTAACTCTTTTGCTTCCATTTCAAAATTGATTTCAGGACTCAATCACACTGTCACACATCACAATCGACACAAACTCCTTCAAATTCATTGGAGCAGTTAATTGGATTGAAGCAGGAATATTGGCTTCTAGCTAGGGGTGGACGTTCAGGTTCGGTGTTCCGGGTAACCCGGATCCAAAACCAAAAGTGTCGGGTATCGGGAAACTGAAAACCGATGCATCAAAAGAAAAATCGGGTCTGGTTCCTAATATGGCTGTGTTTCGGGTTTCGGTGAAACCCAGAACCGAAACCAAAACCTAACGGAATCGAGGTGGAACCGATGAGAGGTTCCTAAGGTGGGGCAGAAGAGTCCGCTGCTCCTCTCCGGCTCTAATCGCTGCCGCTACATAAAGGAAGTCGGCGATGGTGATGAATCGGTTGGAAGGCGGGATTGGTGAGGGAGGGAGGAGGAGCTAGGTGGATGGCTACACCGATGGAGTAAAGGAATCAAGAGTGAGGGGCGAGGGAAATTGTGTCGGCAGTGGGAGAGATTAGTACTCGGGTACTCGAAGAAGAACCATGAACCATTAAATTCGGTTCACGGGTATCCCAAATAATTAATTATATTTATTATAGCATAGCCTCTATTTTATATAACATTTTTCTCCCAAATTATTAATGAATTTCTTATGTTAAATATTTTTCTTTGAAATGTATACTCATGAACATATCCATCCTATTTTGCACCCAAACTAAAATACTCAACTTGCCATCGTATGGTTTTGAGAGATTGAGAATTTTGGGCGGTATAACGGATACATAATATGATAGTATATAAACCAAATAAAAAATTTACCCGCCAACGGGCCGGGTGAAAATATACATAAGATTGCTTGATCACATTCCATGCCATACTTATACCAACAACAACAACCTTATATTAATCTCATCCGGCCAACGGGCCGGTCATTATGCTAGTAAACTATAAAGCCATGCATCTCCATGTGCCCGCAAATTGTTCGGCAAGTCAAATCGACCGCTTTTGTCAGACCTGACCCGGGCTTTGTTAAATATAACTGTACAGGTGGCTCTACAAATAAAGCCCAGCAGATATCTTTGGTCCAACAACAGCCCATATCCAATTACCAAAATAGTACTTATCTATCTTTTCCTCCTCCCACTCTCCATCACCATCCTCCTCGTCATCACCCTTTCCCGATTTCTCTCCGCCTCTGCAGCTTCTAAACACCGCCCACTGCCGTTGCCTCCAGGACCGAAGCGATGGCCGATCATTGGAAACATCCCACACATGACAAGAAGGGTCCACATCTCCATGTCCGAGTTCGCCAATCCCACGGTCCATTGATTTCAGTGAAGCTCGGCGCTCAACTAATCATCGTCGCCTCTTCCCCGGCTGCCGCCGCCGAAATCCTCAAAACCCACGACCGTGTCCTCTCGGCAAGATACTTGCCCAAATCCAGTTCGTTCAAAATCAGCGATATTGATCGAATGGCAATTGTGTGGGCTTCCAACTGTGACGACAGCTGGAAGTCCCTCCCCGGGCTGTGCAGGACGGAGCTTTTCTTTGGCAGAGCAATCGAGTCGCAGGCCGCCGTCAGGGAGAAGAAAGTTAGCGAAATGGTCGAATTCCTTGCCGCTAGAAAAGGGAAAGTGGTTGATATTGGGGCAATCGTGTTAACCACCATTTTCAACTCGATGTGCAACCTTTTCTTCTCTGAGGACTTGTTGGGGTTGGAAGATACTAAGGGGAAGGCTAGTGGGTTAAAGAGTTATATTTGGATATTGATGGAGCTTGCAACTGCTCTGAATATTGCTGATTTTTACCCTGTTCTAGGACACCTAGAACCTCAGGGCTTGAAGTAGAGGACGATCAAGGTCGTCACCTAGATATTTTCCGTTTGGGAGAGTTACATCAGGGAAAGAAGGAAAATTCATGAATCAAAACTGCACGGCGATACTTTGAAATGAGATTTCCTGGACGTTTTCCTTTCAAATGGTTTCGACGATCAGAAAATCAATTGGTTGTTTTTGGTAAGATTCAACTTCAGTCCAATGATTCCTTACTCTGCTTTTTAGTAACTCTGTTTTTTGTTTACTCTATTTTACTTACTCTGTCTGGGAATTCCACAGGAATTGCTGACGGCGGGAACAGAGACCACCACTACGACAGTGGAATGGGCAATGGCCGAGCTTCTTAAGAATGAATGGAGAAGCAATGAGGAAAGTTCGCGAAGAGTTGATGACACGCCAAAACACAACACCAAACTATGACCAAGTGTAATCGCAGTCCGGGAATGCAGTAACAGGCAAGTTCTATTATCAACCCGGGGTCTAGATCTACTGCTTACTCCGTGATTATTTATTATCTAACCAACTAAGTTGAGTGATTTGTGTTTAAACTAAAAGCAGCAAGAAAGCAGGAAATTATTCAGTTTTCTCAAGCAGGAAAGAGTCACTCGGGAATGAGTCCCCCTAGCTCCTTAGTTAGGTTTCAATTGTATTTCCCTGGGTTGATTTACTGTTGATTAGACTGCGGAAGATCCGGCAGTAGCTTGGAATCTCTTAAGCTGACCAAGCCCTCTCAGTCTAACTACCCGGCAGACGACTAGTCTTCACCGGGATAGAAAGCTGAAGCAGTAAGAACAGAACTCCACTGCTGGAATTGGATTCCAGTACAAAGCAGTAAACTGGCTAACTCTCGTATAGCCAATCTCCTACTACCGAATGAAGAGACTCTAACAACCTAATCAGATTCTATCTATCTCAGGTTGCAGCAGAAATCAAGAAAAGCTGATCAGACTTCAATTGACTCAATAAACATGCATCATTCGATTAAAATCAAACAGTAATATCATCCCAAGTCATTACAATCAATCCCTAACACATAGAACTAGGGTTCTTCATCCCCAAGTGAGAGAGGGGTTCTACTCCATAGAGAGAGAGAGAGGAAAACAGTAATCGGAGTAGTCATACTCATAAAGATGAGGAAAATATGCTCCGGGATGATGATTTCCACTCCTAGGATGATCTCCAAGCTCGATTCGATGAAACCCAGCTCCAAGATAGCTTCTAGGATGTGTTCTTCGTACTTTCTCTCTCTAGGGCTCTGTTTTTGCTCAAAAAGTCCGATCCTCTCCCTTTTGGCTCGAAATTGGCTGAAAAACCAAGATTTTCCGACTCACACGGGCAGGCCACACGGCCGTGTGGCTCACCCAGTTGCCCGTGTGAGTCATAACGCGGCGTATCAATTAGTTCGATCTTCAGGCTTCCCACACGGCCAGGGTCGCACGGCCGTGTGGGATTTCCATCCTGCCCGTCTTTGCTCTCGCATAATCCCACACGGCCAGGTTTGTCACTTGCACGGCCGTGTGATGGTTATGTGTGCCCGTGTGGCTTCCTCATCGGCTTGCCTCGCGCCCGATCTTCATCCAATCGACCCCAAACTCGCTCCCAAGCCTCCATTCACGTACTAGGACCTGAAATATCACAAACAAGCACAAGGAAAATCGGCCTAAAACACGAGAAATCACATCTCAAACGGTGTAAGAACAGGGGTAAGAACATGTGTAATTAACGGTCTATCAAACTCCCCCACACTTAACCGTTTGCTTGTCCCCAAGCAACCCAAGTCAGATACAAGGCAAGCTTACATATTTCAATCAACCAACATTGGGGACAAGTCATAAAGGCACATAACACGTGAATCGTACTGGTTTTCAAACATCAATACCTGACCAACTTCAATAGCAACCTGGACAACCACCACAAAGGACATTCGAGTGCAGCAAAATCGAGTAAAGGAAGAGTCTCCCTTCTGTTCACCAACCAACCTAGACTTGACTCAACCACTTACTCAAAACAGTCAACTCATGCATCCAACTCAAGACATCAGAATAGAGACCGAGCAATCTAGGTCCTCACCGGGGTACAAAAGTATATAGAATATGAAAATGAATCACTCACTCTCGACCAGTGGGGTCAGGACAATTTGATGCGAAAAATGCGCATGTTATTATTCTCAATCCCTAACATCTCTTCACCATGATGGCAGCCTCTAAATGCTAGAGTTCACATATGGGGTGTCACCACTAACTAATCAGGAGGTCTTAGACACAGGTTCAAATGACTGGCTAGGGTCTTGGACATGGGGAAAAGGCCTTTTAGGTGGTGGAAGTATTCATAGCACAAGGTTCCACATTTCCAAACACACACAATCACAGTCAAACAAACCGGTATTTCCTTTCTGCTATTCTGCATTACTCAATATCTCAAGAGCACAAGAGCGAAGGAGGTATAAACGTCAGCATTTCCAAGCCAGACTGCTAAGAAACACTACTTACTGGGCATTATTCAGATTTTTGGTAGTGGCTCTCTTTGCTTTCAATTTTTCTTTGTTTTTTCTCTTTCATTTTCTTTTCATTTCTTAAGAGAGCCACCACTTCTGCACATATTTCAAACACATGCCTAGCCCAACTTTTAAGCACTACCTCCAACACTCACATCAAATTTAGCAGAAACAACAGAGAATATGTAAAAACCACTCTGTGGAACCTTCTAAAAGATGCAAAAGGGTGATTTTTTTCATTTCAGACCAAAAGAAAGGATAACACACGGCTCAAAAGGGCTGACTAGGGGATATGACACATCAGGACAGTCAAATTTGGTCGTGGGCTAATCCTATGCCCCCATCATCTTAGCTAGTGACAACGTGAATGCTACACATCATGGAAGAGGGATCTATCGCACAAGAAAGAAACGAGCAGGCTCAAATCTCCCATGGCTACCTATATGCTCTATCTCACATTCTGATACCCTGAACTAGATGCATAAACGACTGTCAAGAACAAGTAATCAATCCAAGTCACAGTTGGTAAGCAAACAGTTGAAAAACTAAACCCTACACAATTCTACTGCACGTCTCAGTCCTCATCATAGGTTATCCTAGTCACAATCAAGCTGTCATGCATCAATACGAAAACCATTCAATTCACCAATCAAAACACAATGCCAATATGATCAAACAGCAGTACTTGGAGCCCTCAAATCATAAGATTCGGACAGCGGACTAGGCTCCAAGCACCCAAATATATATTCCAACCGATACAAAGCACCCCCCCACACTTAAGCACGACATTGCCCTCAATGGAGTAGAGGGAGAGATAAGGGGAACGATGTTACCGGATTGAAACTGCTGGGGGATTGGAAGTGGACCAGTCAGCGAGAAACAAACGGGAAGATGGACAGTTCTACACGAATCGAACACCAAGAACATACTAGCACACGTTGTGTTAGGTATAAGTGTTAGCCCAGACGACTACAGCAAAAACAATCCACAAAAGAAAAAAAAACAAAAACAAAAACAAACGACACTAAGTTCAAGCTCCTCACACATGGAGCAAACACACACAAGTCTAAAACGAAAAACAAAACACACTGAGATGGGCAACGAGTACAACCTACTCGTCGCCAAGATCATCCAGGTCGATGTCGTCCATGAAGGCGTCATCACCATCAGCACCATCATCACCATCCGCTGGGGGAGGTGGAAGTGGAGAGTCATCCCAGGGAGTCCTCCAGACGGGCTGCTCGCCCGGTAGCAGCTGGAGTAAATGCTGCTGGACCTCCTGCATGCGCCGTGAACGGCGCTTCTCTCGCTCGATGTGTGCGAGAGTCACTCCCTGCTGGGTCTGGATCTGGTCCAATCTCTCATCGTAAACAGCCATCCTCTGGTGGTACCCGGCCTGGTGAGCCGCGTACTGCTGCTGGAACTGCATCTGATGGTCGAGGATCTGCTGGTTCTAGAGACGTAGCTGCTCGAACTGGGAGGTGAAGTAATCCTGCCCCGGGAAAGCGGAGCTGCCACCTCCGTAATGGAAGTGAGTCTTTGGTGGATCAACAGCAGCGTCCACATCCTCGGGTTCCACATGATCAACAGCCTCATCCCCCTGGCCCTCTGGCTGGACCTCTGGCTGGTCCTCCTGCTGGTCCTCCGCGGGGATCTGAGGTTCCGGAAACCCCTCGATCCATAGAATGCCACGGTTCTCTCACAGCAGGTGCATGTGATTGATCGTTGACCTGCCAAAAACGATGGTGTCCCCCTGCTGTGTGCACCCCTGCAGGGAAAGGCCGAAGTAGGTGGCCAGGCGGGTGATGAGGGGGGTGCAGTGGAGACTCTTCAATTCCGAAGCAGTCTTCGCGAAGGTCCTGGCCACCACCGAACCCAAGTGGAGGGGATGGTCGTCCTGGCGGATCGACTGGATGAGGTACAGGGCCCTCTTGGTTATGGCGCTGGCACTGTCTGAAGCTGGAGTATAAGACTTTGCCAGCAGGTGGTGGAGAAGGCGGTTGTCGAGCTGTAGTGTAGTGGCCTTCGTCTTCCCGGCCGAGAAGGGACGTGTCTGGCCTGGCCGAGCCAGGCGGGTGTACAGCCTCCTAAAGTCCACCTCCGGCGGGTCGTTGACCTCGGTGACGTAGTCCGCACCGTCGTCGAGGTCGAGGTCGAGAGCCTCGGCTAGCTCGGGGTAGCTCATGGACCGTGGGGCACCGCCTAGCCTGAATTTGACCGCCGCACCGTCTCTCCAATCGTCCGTGGGTGTGTGCTTGAAGGTCGTGTAGAACTCAAGCACGGGCTCATAGTAAACCTTCTCGCAGATGGAGAGCAGACAACGCCATGGGTGGTTGGTGACGGCGGCGGAGAGTTGCTCGTAGCAGTGCAATTCCCGAAACTCCCGTTTGGACCAGCAATGGTGCTTCCCAAACGGGCATTTCAGGACCTGCTTGAAGCGATCCTGGGCGGGTCCCCTCTTCAAATCCCGGATGAACGGGTGCTTGAGGTCAGGTTTCGACATTGTCCTGCAAAAGAACAACCCAAATTGGAACCAAAAGAGCCAAAGAAAGGGTCAATTACACCCCCACACTTAAGAACTGAAAACAGCCGAGCCATGGTTTCATCCATTGTTCGGGGGTCAAAAACTCAATAAATCAAGCATAATCTGAGTGGGGGTGCACATTCACGATAAAGTAGGCAACTTTAGGTTCACATCCATAGCAAACACACCCTCAAAGCACATCAATAAGGGCCACAACCGGTGCCCACAACATAGCATGAAAAACAGGCATTTCATCGAACACCTTGTGTGCACTATTAAGGTAAGCATGAAATTGGCACAATTCTTGCACACAAGGGCTCAAACAATCAAGAGGGACTTTGCCCAACACAATTCAAACACACTCCATGCATTCCCCTCAATCAATTGCACAAAAATCACAAGATTCAATGAGGTTCTCTCAACATGCACCCTAACACCCAATTCTCCACAATTAACATAGTTAAGGGCAAAATCAAACCTGGAGACTCAAGTAGAGGTGTAGGGGATGATGAGGGGAAGGCGACAGAAGCGACGAAACGCCGAAAAAGTGCCCGGAAGTGCTCGTCGGAGCCTCGCCAGAGTCTCACCGGAAATCGCCTCCGGCGACAAAAACGTCGGCCAAATCTGCTCAAAATGGAGGGATAGGCCGCTTTTGGTGTAGGAAGGGTGGGTTTGTTGTTGGTTTGGTGGAAAAATGACAAAAAATGGCCGAAAAAATGGAAAAGTGTGGTTTTGTCGCAGTTTTCTGGCGAGGATCAGAGGATTCCGGCGAGGATTTTTCAAATATCTGACCACTCGGCTGTGCTGGCTGAATATATAGGCCGTGGCTCGGCCACACGGGCAGGCTCGCACGGCCGTGCGAGGTGCAAGTTTGCCCGTGTTGGCCGACACGGCCAGGCCGAGGAATTCCACACGGCCGTGCGAATTGCACTTTTGGCCTTGTGGAAATTGTCGAGGGCTCACACGACCAGGGGATAAAATCCACACGGCCGTGCGAGCAGACGAGTTGCCCGTGTCGGCCACACGACCAGGCCAATCCACACGGCCGTGCTAATTGCACCTTTGGACGTGTGGAATTTGTCGAGGGCTCACACGGCCAGGGGATAAAATCCACACGGCCGTGCGAGAAGACGAGTTGCCCGTGTCGGCCACACGGCCAGGCCAGGCCGTGTGAGCTGCTGGAGCCCCGAATTCAACCTGTTTTCACCCAAAAACGACATTCGACTCTGGAACAACATCTCAAGACTCAAAAACACAAAAAAAAAAAAACAAAAGGAAAAATGTAAGAAAATGCAAACCTCGGTGGGGTTGCCTCCCCACAAGCGCTTCTTTACCGTCTTTTAGCTGGACGCTAGTCGGTGGATGCTCAGTGAGGTGAAGGAGCAGGTGCCTTCAAGAGCGGATCCACCTCGCTCTTGAGGTACAGCTTCAAATGGTGGCCATGCACACGCCGAATGTGGCCCCCAGCATTTGCCAACTCAACTTGGCCATCCGGCAGGATGCAAGCGAGTGAATACTCAGATGGCCAAGGTGGGGGAGGGACCAGCTCATAGTGGTCTCCGGCCTTCTTTCGAGCAGGCTTTACTGCCTGCTGTTTCGGCCGCCACTCCTCCCTGATTTGTTCCTTCGATGACGGAGTGGACGGGCGTGGCGGCGAAGGTATGGGAGGCGGATCCTGCAAAATAGGAAACGCAGAAGGATACACGACAGACTCGTGCTCCCGGTGAGACACAGCATGCAAAGGCGAAGAAGCAGGAAGTGTATTAGAAATTGAAAATGTTATTCGCTCCTCACCATCCCTCAAAACTAAGGTCCCATCATGCACATCTATGAGGGCCTTGGCGGTGGCCAGGAAAGGCCTTCCCAGTATCAATGGCACATCCACATCCTCATTCATGTCCAAAATCACAAAATCAACAGGATAATTGAATTTGCCAACCTTAACCAGAAGGTCTTCCACTATGCCCCTAGGATGCACGACAGATCGGTCAGCTAATTAAAGGCTCATCCTAGTAGCACGGGGTTCACCTAGGCCTAGTTTCTTGAATAATTTATATGGCATAACATTGATACTAGCACCTAAATCCGCCAAGGACCTCTCTACATGCAAATTCTCTATAGAGCACGGGATAGTAAAACTACCTGGGTCCTTCTGTTTATGCGGAAGCTTGTTCTGCAGAATGGCCGAGCACTCCTCGCTGAGCTCCACAATGGCCAGCTCGCTCAGCTTCTGCTTCTTTGAGAAGATCCTTCAGGAACTTCGCATACTTAGGCATTTGATATAGTGCCTCCAGGAAAGGTACTTGAACATTCAGCTTCCTAAGCATGGCCATGAAGTTCTCGAACTCTGCCTCCAGCCTGTCTTTGTGCAACCGAGTAGGGAAGGGAGGTTTAGGGATATAATCCTTCACTACTGGTTGCGGTTTAGGTGCAGGCACCTCAACCTCCTTCTCTACTTCTTCTTCAGCTGCTGGAGATGCCGGGACAGGGGCCTCTCTCTCTTGTGCCCGAGCAGGTGGATCAACAGTCATCTTGCCACTCCTAGTTATGATGGCATTGCAGTGCTCATTCGGGTTCTGAGGGTGAGGGATGGTCTGACCGGGCAAAGTACCAGGAGCCCTTTGTGCCACTGCTTGAGCCACACTCCCCAGCTGGGTTTGGATATCCTGCAAGACAGCCTGTGTGTTCCTCTGGCCAGCTTCAAGAGCCAGGAACTTACCCGAGGCCTTTTCCATGAACTGCTCTATAGTGTTAAATTTTTTAGCACTAGAACTGGCGAGAGAACCCACCAATTCCCGCAGTTCAGCCATCTGATCACTCTGTACTGGAGTTGCAGGTGCTGCTCCTGTCTGCTGAAATGGTCGCACCTGTGACTATGGTGGAACTGGCCCCTGTCTGGGCTGGTAGAGTGGCTGCTGTGGCTGCTGAAATTGCCCCTGTCTGGGCTGGTACGGAGGCCTCTGGAAGCCAGGTGGTCCCTAGGGAGCTGGTGGTTTGGGATTTGCCCCAGCCCAAGAAAAGTTAGGATGCTGGCGCCACCCCTCGTTATAAGTGTTGCTGTAGGGGTCGAAGCGCCTGGCATTACTAATAAAGTCCACCTACTCCTGGGGAGTAGACAATTCCCTCATCGCCTGACAGTCCTCTACGGTGTGATGGGAGCTCTCACACCACTGACAGTGCATCGCCTGCGGCTGTCCTGTACCTGCAATCAAACCAGAACGATCGATAGCTGAAACCAGCTTCGATACCACCTGCACCAAATCAGATGACTGGGTGCCCACAGCATGCACACCTCGTCCTGGCGCTCGTCTCGATCTCCTGGCAGTTCCCCAATCGTACCCGTTCTCTGCCATCTCCTCAAAGAGTTGATTCAGCTGCTTGTCTTCTGGGAAGAGGGCATGATAGAAGGTTCCCACCTTGAAAGCATCGTTGAAACCATGATTGGAACACCTCAGGAAGAGACTGTTGTATCTCTCCCAAGCATCCCGGATGGTCTCATCTTCATCCTGGGTGAAGTGGGTGATCTGCTTCTGCAAGTCCGCCGTCTTCGACGGAGGATTATAGCGGGTAAGGAACTTGTCGGCCAGGTTGGCGAACGTGGTGATGGAGCCCGGAGGTCGAGTGTCTAGCCACTCCTTGGCCTGCCCCTCCAGGGTGAATGGAAAGTACCTCAGCTGGATGGCATCTGCTGGGACCCCATTGATCTTGATTCCATCAATGAGCTCGTGGAATCGCCTGAGATGTGATCGGGGGCACTCCCCCTCTTTGCCACGGAACACCACTGAACCGCGCAGCATGGTGATTACTGAGGTGCTCACCTCGAAATTATTGGCTGGGACATGAGGGTGTTGAATGGGTGACCTCATGTCTGCAGCCCTGGCGGTCCAGTAATGACCCATAGTCTGCTCCCCAGGATTGACCACATCATGGTCTTGTGGATCAGCCATCTCCTCCTCTTCAGTGATCAGTGATCTGTAGCTGTGCTAGCGACTCCTCCGCAGCCAGTCGCGCCTTTAGAGCCCGCTTGAAGTTTCTACAGGTTCGTTCAAGCTCCTGGTCTAGTGGTAGGAGATCTCCCGACTGGCTACAGGTCATGCACTACCTGCACACAATAAGCAGAAACAACCCGTGAAGGCACACAGGTGGAAGAGATAAAATCCAATAAAGAAAAAGCTAGAGTAACAAATTCTCACGTTTCCCCAATAACCTAGAGGTTCCCCGGCAACGGCGCCAAAAACTTGACACGCCAAAACACAACACCAAACTGCGACCAAGTGTAATCGCAGTCCGGGAATGCAGTAACATGCAAGTTCTATTATCAACCCGGGGTCTAGATCTACTGCTTACTCCGTGATTATTTATTATCCAACCAACTAAGTTGAGTGATTTGTGTTTAAACTAAAAGCAGCAAGAAAGCAGGAAATTATTCGGTTTTCTCAAGCAGGAAAGAGTCACTGGGGAATGAGTCCCCCTAGCTCCTTAGTTAGGTTTCAATTGTATTTCCCTAGGTTAATTTACTGTTGATTAGACTGCGGAAGATCCAGCAGTAGCTTGGAATCTCTTAAGCTGACCAAGTCCTCTCAGTCTAACTACCCGGCAGACGACTAGTCTTCACCGGGATAGAAAGCTGAAGCAGTAAGAACATAACTCCACTGCTGGAATTGGATTCCAGTACAAAGCAGTAAACTGGCTAACTCTCGTATAGCCAATCTCCTACTACCGAATGAAGAGGCTCTAACAACCTAATCAGATTCTATCTATCTCAGGTTGCAGCAGAAATCAAGAAAAGCTGATCAGACTTCAATTGACTCAATAAACATGCATCATTCGATTAAAATCAAACAGTAATATCATCCAAAGTCATTACAATCAATCCCTAACACATAGAACTAGGGTTCTTCATCCCCAAGTGAGAGAGGGGTTCTACTCCATAGAGAGAGAGAGGAAAACAGTAATCGGAGTAGTCATACTCATAAAGATGAGGAAAATCTGCTCCGGGATGATGATTTCCACTCCTAGGACGATCTCCAAGCTCGATTCGATGAAACCCAGCTCCAAGATAGCTTCTAGGATGTGTTCTTCGTACTTTCTCTCTCTAGGGCTCTGTTTTGCTCAAAAAGTCCGATCCTCTCCCTTTTGGCTCGAAATTGGCTGAAAAACCAAGATTTCCCGACTCACACGGGCAGGCCACACTGCCGTGTGGCTCACCCAGTTGCCCGTGTGAGTCAAAACGCGGCGTATCAATTAGTTCGATCTTCAGGCTTCCCACACGGCCAGGGTCGCACGACCGTGTGGGATTTCCATCCTGCCCGTGTTTGCTCTCGCATAATCCCACACGGCCAGGTTTGTCACTTGCACGGCCGTGTGATGGTTATGTGTGCCCGTGTGGCTTCCTCATCGGCTTGCCTCGCGCCCGATCTTCATCCAATCGACCCCAAACTCGCTCCCAAGCCTCCATTCACGTACTAGGACCTGAAATATCATAAACAAACACAATCTAGCGTGAAATCGGCCTAAAACTCGAGAAATCACATCTCAAACGGTGTAAGAACAGGGGTAAAAACATGTGTAATTAACGGTCTATCAGTTGAATGGAGAGATTGGGGAGAACCCCATCACAGAAGCGAATGCTTCCCAGCTGACATTTCTCAACGCGTCCATAAAAGAGACATTCAGGTTACACCCACCAGCCCCATTCCTCATTCCACACCGTGCTCTCGAAACCTGCGAAGTGATGAATTACAGAATACCAAAGGATTCCCAGGTGATTGTTAATGTTTGGGCGATTGGGCGAGACCCGTCCGTTTGGGAGGACCCGTTGTCTTTCAAGCCCGAGAGGTTCATTGATGGCTCAACCACGGCGGACTTCAGAGGTCGCGACTTTGAGCTTCTGCCTTTCGGGTCGGGTCGGAGGGTGTGCCCGGGACTTTTCATGGCAACTAAACAAGTGTCTTTGATTCTAGCTTCGTTGATTAAAGAGTTTGATTGGACTCTCCCCAACGGCGATGATCCGGCCAAATTAGATATGGATGAGAAGTTTGGTCTTACGCTTCAGAAGGACAAACCTTTGCTACTTGTGATCAGGAAACAGAGCAAGTAACATGGCTGTGAATGGAATAAATACACAAATCCTCCAGTTACTTCCAATCTTCCATGTTCCCGTGGCGTCCTCGACTGTGACACTGTGTGCAAAAATTGATGGGTTTTGGCACAGGCAAACTACTTAATACTTTTGATTGAGATATTTAAAATTATTTGGGTGAATGTCATTTATGATTCTAGAATTAGTGGCGGAGCCAGAAAATTGGCCAAGGGGTGTCTTTATCATCTCATAGAAAATCACCTATACAATAGAAAAGTCAACTTTAAATTAAACAAAAAGTCAACAACGCAATACTCTAAATTCATACAATTACATTAAAATAGTTTCACGGCACCGGTTACAACGTCAAACAAATAAGTTCAGTACATACAAATCAAGACTTCCATTCATCAAATATTACAAATTAGAACTCAGAAGTACCTTGGAATTGATTTTGTGAAACAAACAAGTGAACTTCACCTTGGTACTTCTTCACTTTCAACTTTGTTTAAACAAAAGACAAGAAATTTCTCTGTTGTAGAGCTACAAAAAAAAAATGAGCGAGTTTAAACAAAAGACAACAATTTATTACTATAAATAAAGACGAAAGTGCATTGCATAACAAAACTCACTCGATCGAAATGATAAGAAATTCTTCTTGCAACTTAATGGTCATTGGTTCGAATTTGTATATACCCTACTCGGAAATTTTTTCTCCAAACCCAAGGGGGTGCAAGCACCCCTCCTCTCCAAGTGGCTCCGCCACTGTCTAGAATTTTTGTTGACACAGTTGACCTAAAGAAAATCAATCTATGTTTAACAATCGATTTATGTGGTGCTTATTTGTCATTGCTTGTCATTCTACGTATGATTTATAAAAAGTACATATATTAATAAATGTATAATGTATTTTTGTAATTAATATTTTTTGGGTTGTGTTCCCGAGCCCATCACTGCACGCCCTTGCACGTCCGGTCGAGCTCTTGATGAGCTAACCCTAGATGATAGTCGACAAAAGGTAGCTCCTTTAAAAGCTTGTATTTCGGCTCTCAGCCAATCAACATCATCATAATAAGATTCCAATCTCTTCTCATGGATGTAAGCTTTACACAATGTGAGGAAGAACCATGTTAAACAAAGTGTCCATTTATTTATGATTTATCATGGTATTAGAGCATTGATCCAGCAGAATGATTGCTGTTCATCATGGTCCACGACGAAGAAAAGTCCAGCAGTTTCATACCTCCTATCACCGGCAGCGTTAAGAACGAGGATGATCTCCTTAGCTGGGTATATCAGCTACCCAATTTCGACAACCTATGTCATATGCTCGTCGGGAGGTTTTGACGGCCACGAACTATGGTGAATGGGTTCTGGATATGAAGGATGTGTTGTTAGCTAAAAATAAATTTACTTTCGTTGATGGATCTCTATTGAAGCCAGCAGCTGGCTCTGAATGGAACGTACGCCTGGATTTGTTACGATGCGATGGTGAAAGTGTGGCTTAAGACATCCATGTATAAAGAAATACGCAGCAACATTGGGTTCGCAGAAACTTCTTGTCAAATCTGGGTCTATCTCAGGGAACGATTCGGCTAAGGGAGCTCTTCGCGTGCCCATGAACTCTGGCACCTCATCAGCCTTCTCAGTAGGAAAAGAATTTCGTCTCGTGATTCTACACCCGTCTGCAAGGCTTATGGGAGGAAGCTTCTGGATTTCTCCACTTCCTGCTTACACTTGTGGGGTTATGTTGACCCTGAAACGACATAGTATCTACCTAAACGGAGCACTTCATTGATGACGTTTCACGGCTTTCTCTGTATCATCCTTCAAAGTCAAGAGAGGACTCCTTGATTGATGATCTCTCTGATATCTTCTCTCGATCATCCTCTTTTCAACGACAGCTTCAGCTTTCTTGAGAATGCTCCACCTAGCACCGTCTCTATGATGATGTATGATGAAGACTATGGAAGGCTCCCAATTAGGCAATGGTCATCCTCTGTTAACCCTATAAATTGTAAGCTCTCTACTCAATTGAAACTTGTACTTTGACAGTGAGTTGTGAGTGATTCTGGGATTAGAACTCTTCTGCTTTGGGTCAAGGATTGTAATTGCTTCAGTAGATAGAATCACAGTGTATGAGAGTGTATTGGGTGATTCAAGTCTTGGAAAGTGATTGTGTTGAGTGTTGTTTCTTAAAGAGCCAAGTTACTTGGCTTGGCTAGGATTCTCTGTGTAGTTCGATCTCCATTTTCAAAATCAATAAAAGCATCCTTCTTTTCTTTACAAGAGATTGTATCATCTCATATTTTGACTTTACAGTTGGTATTAGAGCCTACTCTTTGTAGGATTAATCGTCGCCAAAGAGAAGGTCTCGGGATGTCAGGAACTTCCTCTACTGGAGTGGCATACTCCGCAAATACAAATCCTCCGTGGTTTGATGGAACGGACTACACCGTTTGGAAGAAAAGGATGCGGATATACCTTTGTGGAGTTGATGGAGAGTTGTGGGCAGTTGTCAAAAAGGGCCAATTCCTATGGAAGATGAAGATGAAGAAGACTGGAAAGATGAGCAAAAAATTTCTTCTCAGCACTAAGCCCTGAAGAAACGAGTCAAGTAGCTCAATGTGAGTCAGCCAAGGAGATATGGGAGTCTCTTCAGACAACCCATGAAGGTACGTCTGAAGTTAAAGAGAGTAGAATAGATGTGTTGTTAAATGAATATGAATCTTTTGAAATGAGCTCAGGTGAATCAATTACTAGCATGTACAAAAGATTCAATGATTTAATAAATAGGTTAAAAGGGCTAGGAAAAGTTTTTGAGAGAAAGGACCTAGTTAGAAAAATTCCGAGATGTCTTCCTAG